TGTTAAACCATGGCAGGCTAACTATCTTCTTTTGATGATTCTAAATAATTCCTTCTGGTGCAGGGTAGATAGCAGTGTTCTATGGTAGTTAAGAAATCACGGCTTACTTGAATGATAAGTAGCTAAGTATTTATTTCACTTACCATGTTTGTGTCCATTTGGAAATTCATTAACAAAAGTATTTTGTTTTGGGTTATAGCATTTCCAGCCCTTATCACTGTTCCTCTTTATAGTGTTATGTACTATTTTCTTTAGATTAATTAAATGACTTTTGTTTATTAGTTAACATCAATGTGTCTTTTTATTGGGTTTCTCCAACTACAAAATTACCTAATTTTTCGTGTGCCAAGGCTTTTTGTCCTCCAATCTATTTTTCTCTGTCTAGACAGTCAATAAATGTATTTTGATGTGGTAATATTTTTTAGTTATTTTTCTTTACTAATGGTTCATACAATTTAGCTTTTAACTCAATACAGAATTAACCATCAAAGCAGAAAACAAATTACAATATAACTTATACCTTACAAATGAAAGCAATTCCATCAATCTTAAAGCTGTATATTATCTCCACATAACTTCAGATGGTCTTGAGAATGCTACAGAAACAATTAAAAAGTTTCCCTAGGGAGGTGTGGTACCAAAAAAAAAAAAAGAAAAGTTTCACCAGGGAAAAACTTTAAAAGCAGAAACAATACAGAAATGCCAAAATTCTCACTAAAAATTTCCTCACTACTATTTATCAACCTACTAATCTTTTCTATTTTACAATTCATTTCTTGACAGATATTCAAGTATTTGCTAATTGAGCCTATCATTAAACCAAAGAAATTTTTCTGAAAAAAACCAGTAGGTTATCAAAATATTTAAATTTAAATGATTTTTTTTTCTTTAAAAAGAGGAAAAAGAAAGCTATTGTTCAGGGGATAAAATTTCCATCTTCAGTTACATTTCTATCCACATTTTCCCTGCAAGAGATTTCCAGTTGTGTTTTTCAATCACAAGAAATCTACATTTATAGAAAATCAGCAGGTATTTCCTGTTATTGGAGCCAGCTAGGGAGCAGAACAACGCCAAGCCAAGGTTTGGAACCAGCTTTCTGAACAGTGGGAAGAGGCACAAATTTAGTCAGTTATCTTCTGAGCCTGTTCATGTTTAATTATGTTAGTGGCACTTGACATTATAAAATGTTCTTTTCTTTCAAACATAGCCTGTCATCATTAGTAAATGTCAGATGTAATGAAGTGTTTTTCTGACTTATTTTCTTCCTGATATGATGGAATCAAATGCTAATGAGTTCATAATTCAGAAATTGTTTTCAATACCCAAAACCAATACAACGTCAACATGGCATCTGCTTATTAAATTATTTTTATTCTTTATAGTTTCTTTCTGTTCAGGAAGAATTTTCCTCTTTGTATTCCTCATAACACTTCTACTTGGTGCAATTTCTTATTCTCCCTGAGAGATTTTAGGTGACTAAAAAATTTCAGTTAGATTGCATTTCTGGGTTCAAATCAGACTGATGTTGAAGATCTGAACCCTTGCTGTGACCTAAGTACTAAGTACTATTTGAAAGCTTCTATTTTTCTCTTAAAAGCTATTCTCTCTCTCCCTCCCTCCCTCCCTTTCTTCTCTTGTTACATAATAGCTATCCAGTTCTGTAGTTTCTAGCATCTTCCTGTAGCATTTCACTCACTGTATAATGGAGCCATGATCTCTGCTCTCTCAAAGATTAAATACACTCAAGATGTGAAACCGATGCATTTTATAATACAGAAACTAGTTTCCTCACTGTCACAATAAAATTAACATCCTATGAAAAGGGACGCCATCAGTAGAAAAGGTCAAGAAGAAAGATATAAAACCACTGTTTCCCACACAATACTATTCAGTGTCTGTGTTGAAAACATGCTTGACAGGACCGGTCTGGGTCACCATTTAGCAGGGTCTGCAGTGCATTTGTTTTCTTGCCTCTTCACCTGAATTTAGAAATTAAGGGAAAGCTACATACAGAGGAGGCAGCAGGTATAGAGTCCTCCAGCCTGTATGAACACTACTCAATCAATACCAGGAAGACATTTTGCCATGAAAAAAGGAAACTATTTAAATTTACTTCACAATAGTCATACACACAAAATATACGTTACGTTTATAGATACTATATCCTGGAAAATATGAAGTCAAACCCAATTGTACTTATAAAAAGTACTTATAAGTACGAGAAAATTCATACTTATAAGGGATTCTGCTAAGCAGAGAGCAAAAATATAGTACTACAAAAAATCTGATTATATTTTGCTTTTTAAAAGCATACGCTTTGAATGCTTTTTGTTGTGGTGGTGGTGGTGGTGCTGAGGATCAAACGCAGGGTCTTTTGTATATGATACCACTGAGCCACAACCCCAGCCCAGTCTTTGGGAATTTGATTCTGCCTTTTTATCCATTCTCTCTCTCTCTCTGTCACACACATACATACAGATATATATACACACATATACATATATGTATGATATATACATGGATGTGTATATATATGTAATATATATATATATATATTACAATGACTACAAATATCCAAATAAATTCAATATTGCTGGTTCATGCCTAATGAGTTTGTCCCAATTATATGCAGTTTATGATATTCCTAGCATCCACATTTTCATGTTTGATATTTATAAAATAAATACTATAATAAACACTACAATAAAATATTCTAATAATTGCCTGGTACCCAATATAATATTGGGATGTAATTAGGAAGTTTTCTATTTATATTATTATAGTCATTATTCAACTATTTTTACTAATTAGCCATCAATCCACCAATTTATAAATAAGTTTTATAATTAGAATATTTAACATTTTACTGATTTCTAATACCATTATATATGTCAAAGATATTGATATTTGCTTTCTGTTGTCCAATGCTTTCCAGCTTATCACTTGATTTTCTGTCCTTTTGACTTTACCTATAACATCTCTTCCATGCTTAAAGAATTGTCAGATTCTCATGGGCTAAAATATGTATTTTCTTTTTTGTTTTCTGGATTTGGAAGTATGTTCTAAAAGATCATTTCTACTGATTTGGTCTTGTTTTCCGATAATTTTGGTACTATAATCTGTGTCTATACTACCTTTGAAACCTTATTTTCCCTAATATCAATCATTTAATAAACATTCTGAGAAGGCAGTGTTATCCTTGCTCTAAGAGTGGCATATGATTATCATTAGTTTCATAAAAAGTCACATTCTTGACTTTTAGTTCCATTTTATACCCCACATTCTCCCAGAATCATTCACTGATCCCCAACCATCTTTGATGTTACCTTTCTAAACTTAAATTACAAGAATCAAGATGCATCATGTAAAGGTACAAGTTCCCAATCATGAATGTAAATTTACCAATGAAAGAATTTAAGAGAAAAAAATAAAATGTCAAAAGGAACATGGTACACCAAGTAGGAAGAATTGTAAACACTCTCGCCACTCTGGAGTATAAACATCTAAGCAGGAGGAGGCCTGTAGATGAGAAATCACAGATCCAACCTGATCCTGTCCCAGTAGTGGCTAGAGGGTTACATGAAATAACTCATGTGCGGTGCTTCACACAGAGTGTAGCAAACAAGGAGTGGTCTATAAATGACAAGTACTGGCTTTTGTTCTTGTCACATGGGGAGGCAGGCTAACCCACAATGGGAGACAGCAGCTTACATAGGAAATTGTTTTCACTTTTTAGTAAGTAGAAGTCTTCAATGTCATCCGATACTTTAGCTGTCCCTTCAAGGCTTAGTGAATCTTAGGGCAAGCTATATGCACTCTGCATTCAGAGCAAGCATCTCAGAGATAAGCAGATAAAGAGAATACACACTGAAGTCAAAGATAATATTTTGTCCAAAATACTAAGCACCTAGAGAGCTCTAGGAAAGAGAAGTTAGATGGTGCCATTCTCCCAGGATGGTGGCAAATGGAAAAATCGAGGAGCATTTGGGTAATAAATGATATCTCACATCCAGAGAGAATGAAGGAGTGAGAGTTGGTTGAATTAAGGTGCAAATTCTTCAGCTGCCCTACATGTGACATATAACAGAGGCATTCAGGTGATGATATCTGCCTCTGATTCCCAGATTTAACTGTTACATGCTACCTATGCTGGCATGGAATCCCTGTATTTGTAAGCTGCTGTCTCCCATTGTGGGTTAGCCTGCCTCCCCATGTGACAGGAACAAAAGCCAGTACTTGTCATTTATAGAGTACTCGTTGTTTGCTACACTCTGTGTAAAGCACCACACATGAGTTATTTCATGTAACCTTCCAGGCATACTGAAGTCCAGAGTGACCCATGTTCCCACAGCCATGGGGAAAGCAGGAATTTAAACTCAGTTCTAGCCATCTGACTGAAACATCAACACAAAGCAGGTGTACTTATTCCCATTTTACAGTTGAATAAACTGAGATTGAACTGTACACTCCTTAAAAGCACTGAAATTTTCATAAACTTCCTTTTTCTCCCAGTAGTTTGTATTCGTTGACAAACCACAAATGCATAATGATGAAGCTAATATACCACTCTGGGTTTAAACTATGCAGGATCACAAATTTTAATCAACACAAAGCAGGTGTACTTATTCCCATTTTACAGTTGAATAAACTGAGATTGAACTGTACACTCCTTAAAAGCACTGAAATTTTCATAAACTTCCTTTTTCTCCCAGTAGTTTGTATTCGTTGACAAACCACAAATGCATAATGATGAAGCTAATATACCACTCTGGGTTTAAACTATGCAGGATCACAAATTTTATATATACCCCCCCCAAACCCACAATTTTTCACAGTATTTCAAAGCTACCATATAAAAATCATAGGAATAACAGCATGAAAAAAGATAGCTATTCATTGCACATGCATTTTAAACTCTATGTTGTGACTGCTTTTGGTATTATCAATCACCTCCAAAAACTGTGTTGCCTTATTTCTGAGAGATTCTCATTGTTTTTTAGGACACAGCAGGCCAAGAAAGATACAGGACTATTACCACAGCCTATTATCGTGGCGCTATGGGCTTCATTTTAATGTATGACATCACAAATGAAGAATCCTTCAATGCTGTACAAGACTGGTAAGTTGTAGCTGATACTCACCACTAATGATCATTTTCTATTTTGTTCTTTTTCCCCAAAGCAGTGAGCACACTGCAACATTACCTGTACATTTATCATATGGTACAACTCCACCCATGCTTCATAAGCCAAAAAAATGGCTCAAGACCATTGTTAAGAGGTTGGTAGGAAGTCATTTTGATGAATTGTCTTCATTTCCTTGATTTCAGTGGATTCATCCTGTCATCTTTACTTCTGTAGAGACAAGTACACTGCTGTTAGTTTTAAAAGGAATAAATAATAATGCTGATCTAAAATAGGTATCTAGAAATGAAGGCCCATGACTTGTTCTGTAAGTAAAGTTTCATTGGCACACAGCCAGGTTCATTTGTTTATTATCTGTGATGCTCTCCTACCACCACAGCAGAGTTGAGGAGCTGCAACAGAAACCGTATGATGCCTAAAGCATGTTCTATCTGTCCATTTACAGAAACTGGTTGACTCTTTGTCTACAAGAGTTGTTACATAGGTTATTCAAACAGAAAAGATAAGGTTTATGGTGAAAGGAAAAAAAGAAATCTAAACCCTTGTGACATAGCTATATCAAACCACCTGAAAAGACCTCCACCTCGGTCAGTGTGATTTGCATTAGAGGCGGGGGAGCTTCTTGTTGCAGCTGTGGCATCCTTCAGCCTGTCCCACCAGCACCTTGCAAGGAGGCAGAGGGGCCTAGGGGAACAGTAATGAAGTCCAGCAGCAGGGCTGTGTGGAAACAACCAGAATTGTCTTGGGCTTTGTGTAATATTAGGAGAGAAGTGGTGATGCCTGTGACTGATAACACATTTTGTCTCTAAATAGTCACAGCCCATCTTATGTAAGCAAGCATTGAATTAGCAACATACAAGCAGAGCAAACGGCATTCCTTTTTTTCTGTTTTCCGTAGCAATATTATCCAAAATATTTTTTACATGCATATCATCAGCTCTATGAGGCTCAGATGTATTTAATTGTTTCCTTTAAAAGCTAATTGCTCATCCAGGAAGACACGCACTTACAATGCATGAAATAATACCATTGCCATAGTAACTCAAAAAAGAGATAAAGATTTATAAACTGAAAAGAATAGGTGCAGAACCTATATGAAAAATAATTTCCTTTCACGGGAGACATAGAAGAAAGCTTAAGTAACCTTCCTCGAGGTAAGTTGAATACAGTATTGTAAAAAATGCCAGTTATTCTCAAATTAATGCATAAATTTGAGGCAATCCTAATTAAATGCCAACAGATTTGATATAAAATCAAGTGAAATAGTCCAGAGATAGGGAGATTCAGTTTATGATAAAATTAGCATTGAAAATTAGCACTAAAAAGGATCGTTCAGATAATAGTGTTGTTATAGCTAGTTAATTGCCCCACACAGCTGTGGCACATATATTTTCATACAAAGTGGTTACCTTAACCTTGACTTCCCCCACCCCACCATAACCCGGAAATGACATCAGAGCTTCCAGGATGGAAGTGTTCTTGAAAGAGGTTTCAGACTCCAGACTTCCAGAGGACATTTGCACTCATAGTTCTTGCCCTGTTCTTTCAGTGAGTTATTTGAACACTAGGAATAAGAAAGGGGTATCTTGAGCTCATTAAAACCAAATGGCCGTGATACCAGGAGCCACGCCCACCAGTACTCAACTCTAGAGTCAAAGGACGTGAAAATATGCAGCTTCTTCATATTCCCTCACACCCTTCCCCCGAAACCCCAGTCAGACTGGCTTCAACCCCCCACACCCACACCTACACATCTGCATGTGTCAGCAGACCCATGTGCCCCATCTCAGCTTTTATCCACCTCAAAGTCTCTATTTATATACCCTCCCTCTTTCCTTCTGAAGCTGTGATTCTTGTCTTTTGAAAGGTGTGTTTTTTCAGATAATTCTCACCTCTCTCTGACCACTCTTCCTCCTCCCACATTTCCCCACCTGCTCCCCAAGCTGAGGGCAAGGAAGCCCAGTGACTTTTTTGTGACTGTGTTTGTGTCTTTGGCTCTCTGTCCACTCCCATAACTTCTACCAAGTGGCTCCCAAATGTCTATAAACTGTTATGTTGCATTTTCAGGTGCCAAAAAGTATTTCTCCACCTAGTTATCCTGCTGGTTCCTCAAAATCAGTGCTCGTCACCTGAAACTGCATTGTCTGGCATTGTTGTTTCTGTTTGTTTCACTGGAATATTCCACTGCCCAGCATGCACTGTGAATCCAGATCTCTCAGCCACTTCTGTATGAGCAGCTCCTGCATACTAATTTTTTCTGAATAGTCTTTGAATTTTCTCCTGCCTTTTCATTCCTCTTTGATAATCTTTGTTTAATTTCTTCTAGTAATCTTTTGCTTCTACTCTGATTGGTACCCTCTAACCTTCACTTAAGACTGCCTTCTGTCGCAATCCATCCTATCTCACTGCTGCTCTGAGGTTCTCCCAGAAGAACACAGTAATGAAATCATAGAAAATCCCCACTCAAAACTCGCCTCTTACCTTACATTTCCTCTTGAATTAATTAAAACTTTCTTTGGACTACCATTCAGAAACGCTGCATTATGACAGCACTATATCTTCACAGCTTCATCTTTCACTAGTCTAGAGGCAAATGAACCATTTGTTGTGTCTAGAACCCAGACCAAACTTTGCCGATTTTGTGATTTTTTTTTCTTTTACATCACCCTCAGTTTTGAATATATTTTTCTACGATCTCCTTTTCCACTTATCCCCAGTCATCTAAATGTATTGACAACCAACAAAAATGGCATGCTATTAATCAAAACATACCACTTGTTATTTTCACTCACAATTACATGATAATTGACTTGATAGTCTTATTTTTAATTTATTCTGCCAAAAATTTGTTGAGCAACTACTCTTTTACAGCCCATTTTCCAGACATTGTATTTAGTATCTTAGCCAACATTTACTATATTGGTGGTTACACCATCACCCAGTTTTCTAAAGTTTGATTTCCCCTTCTTTCACCCGTCTCATTAACTATCAGGTGCAGCCATTTTGACTTTCTGATTGCCTCTCAAATCTGTTCCTCTCCTTTCTCCTTATTGCTACTGTGTTACTCCAGAGTATCATTTGGGAACTTTGTATCTTCACCCCTTGCCTTTCTTTTCAAAATAGAGTTGTATCAGCTGGGCTTGGCACGCCTGCAATCCCAGCACTCGGGAGGGTGAGGTAGGAGGATTGCTGTGAGTTCAAGACCAGCCTGGGCTACATAGTGAGCTCCAGGCCAGTCTCAACTACATAGTGAAACTCTGTCTGAAAAACAAAACAAACAAAACAAAACAAAACAAAAAAGCCAGTTGTAACTTGGTACTCAATTACTTTGAAACTTGTCAAATTTGGTACTCAACACATTTTGATATGAAAAATGTGTCTCGATATTCATCATTTATTGGTACTGGCCAGTCAAGCTAGAACTTGCCAGTGTCAATGGCCTCTTGACCCATTATCCTTTCCAGTCAAAATAATTTGTTTGGTACTCATCACTTTTGGCACTCACTGAACCTTACAGAGCTAATTAAAGACCATTTCTGAGGTACCACTGTAAAAGTTTTAGCAATGTCTTATGATCTGCAGTAGTGATTCTGGAAGAATATGTGACTCGCCCATGTACATTTGGCCATATGTGAGAACCTGGGCTTTAAACTGAACCAACTAAACTAAATGTCCCATGAAATTATGGACAGATGTATTTTTTAAAACTCCCACAAGTGACTCTGAAACCCTTTTCTGCCTCAGAACGTTGATTTAGAAAGAAATCCCAACTCTATCACGGTGGGCAGTGTACCTCCACACATCTACGTCTTTGGTGTCATCTCCTACCTCATCCTTCATTGGCTCTGTGTTCCACCCAGACAGAACTTCCCTCAAGAGAAACAAGCAGAGAAGCCTGTGGAAAGCACAGCACATTTTTAAAATCACCAGTCTCTAACCCAAGTCCCATCCTTCTACTACATCTCTGTCTTCTACCTAGAATCCTTCTCGGTCGCCATTCCAAATCTGTATTCACCTTCTCATCTCAGGTGTGTTGTCAACTCTTCCGTGAAGTTGTAAAATCCACCTCTCCCCTTTTCCAGACCCCATCTCTATTCACAGGGAACAGTGCTGCTCACTCTTCTCCATGCCCCAACGTTACCATAGTGCTTTCTACAGATCACATAAAGTTCCTAGCACACGTTGTCATTAGTCAATTACGTTGTGTCTTTTTATTGAATTGTGCATCCATCAATCATTTTTTGCAGTACTGAGTACAGTACAACCTAATATGTTGTTTTTTTTTCTACTTTTTCTTGTGGGAAAATACATGTAAAACTTGCCATGCTAACAATTTTCCAGTATATGGTTCAGCAGTACTGTTTTAGCATCATCCGCTAGACACAGGAGGAAGAGGCTTACATGTCGATACTTTATTCAGAAGGAAGACAGAGCTGAGGAAGGAAGAGATGGCTGTTTAATAGTTTGGAAGCTGCATTGAGGCTTCTGGTGCTCTTCAGATTTGGCTGAAATTTTGCTGAAAATGTGTGTAATCATGGTCATCAGATTCATTTGGCAGTTCCCCACTTGTTTTTACCATGAGTTCATTCAACAGAAAATTGCATGGAGTTGCTGAGGAAAGAACAGTCAGCTATGGCTCTATGGTCTTGGGGATAGAGGCTACCCCCTCTTTTGAAAGCAAAGTAGTCTGTGCTTTGACTCTTCCGTTGAGATTGTGTTTAAGAAGTAAGTGATTTGTTAAAGGAACAGATCTCAACCAAGTTAACATATATGGATATATGAAATCGCCATTTAACACCCCCCCCAATTGTTTTTCTGATGAATGTAGCCAGAGTTATTAAGTTTTGGTTGGAATCAGACATCAAGTATATAGAGCAGGGATCAGCCATCTAGGTTCCTTCTGAAAGTCTAGCTCTAATAGCTCAGAATGTCTACACATATTGTAGGACATTCTGCTTTGACTTAGCATCTTCCC